GCGGCCGTACCACCGTGGGGTGCATCAGCCGCTGTACTTTTGGTTTTCCTGCCGATAACCTACTTGTTAGTCAATCCCCTGGACTCCAGGGGCTCCAGGGTAATCAATGCTGGCAGGCTCCCACATTGTGCTCCGGATGTACTCTAATTTCAATTTGTACATTGGACGCTGGACCCGTTTTCCAGCAGGTGATGCTCCCCACCAATAGATGGAGCCTCTCCCCAGGTGCTAGTGGTGTCTGCTCTTATCAGTATCACTAACACCGGTGGGGGGTTTCAACAAAAAAAANAAAAAAAAAAAAAAAAAAAAAAAAAAGACTACTAGTTACAACACACTGTATGACGATCAATCACGTAGATATCTGCGCAAAGACTTTTTTAAGAGAAAAAAGGAGAAACAAATAAATACGTGAAGGACTTTGTACTTTGCACCTTCCAATCTGTTCCACCTCGGCCAGCTTGAGACGGGCCGGCAGAGTTGGAGAGACTCCAAGGGATGGAAGGGAGAGGGGTGGAGTACAGCATGGGTGGTGCGAACAGGTTGACGTTGTCTGTCTAGCTTGATCGCATCGCGCTGAAAATGGATAGACTGCTCCCCATCGAATAGACCCGAGCATTTCTTTGAGGAGGAAAAAGAGAAGTTACGTGGCATGGGAGAGATTGTACGGCCAGAAAAGAGAGAGAATGATATATGACCGAATTCCTTGAATTTCCTTCCTTTTATGGGCCCCGGGGGGGGGGAAGCGGGTGCGCGCGGAAAGGAAAGAAACTGGCATCGCATAAAAATCCAAGAAAATTGAGCAGTTGAGGGTAAAAAAAGTTAAAAAAAAAAACACAAAATTCACGAACGTTCGCAAAGCAGCTGCTCACTAAGAAGCGTTGGCCATTGAATTGCAGATAGCATGTACCTCGACTCCTTGAGTATATTGTCTTTTTTTTTTTTCTTTTTTTTTTTTTCCCCCTCTCTCTCTTTGTTTTGAAAACAAACACATGCAACTATAAGTGGGAATTGGGGGCATGAGGCCGGGTAGAGATTGGGCATCGGGATATAGGGGTGAGGCAGGTAGGGTTGGGTTGCCGAAAGGCTAAAGGCTCGAAAGTAGGAGGTTCCTTCGTTCTGAATGCTCCTTCGATCCGAGCTTTGGAGGCTACAATAATTTTTTTAGTGCTCTTGTACACATTTATCTTTTTTAGCCGAAGCCGGGTAGTCTTAAGAATGTTTTAGGACTCTGGGGATTCCTAGCAACTTTGTCTTAGAGTCTTAGGTGGCTTCGATGCTGTTATACTGAGTGATCTGTGGCCGTTCGATGCCAGAACAACGCTGGCCGGTGCTGGGGTGTTGCCCTGTGACCTGCTGATGCAGGAGCGTGAGGCCTGGTAGAGAGATCTGGGGATGCTTTGGGGTGGGCATTCCTCGGGACGACCAATGTGGTGTTGCCCTGTAACCCAGCAGGATGTGGGGGCGTGAGGCCTGAGGCCTGGAAGAGCTCGGCAGGTAGTAAACACAGTGTTGGACAGCTTTGGAAGGGTTTGCTAGGGATTTCGAGGGTTTTGGAGCATTTGTAGGACCTATGTGGTCTATTCCCATCCTTTCTGTATTGCTCAGACGTTTTCTCAAGAGATCGAGGTGAGTGGGAGAAGGAGAAGGTGGGATATCAAGTGTCCTACTAGTGAGGCGGCTAGCTGGTAGGATGGGAATAGGGTACAGCAGCAGTTGTCTTTCTTAGACGCAGCCGGGTAATGGTCCCGGGATCTCAAGGATTTTCCATAAACTTCTCAATTTCTCAATATGATTTTGAATGGGACGCTGGGCCCGGTTCCCAGCACATGCTGCTCCCCACGAATAGATTGGAGCCTTGTGTTAAAAAAAAAAAGAAAAAAAAAAAAAGGAATTGAGGCACCTAATAGTGGCAGGATACACTCCCACTCCCAACTCGAAGCAGTTATCGAGTGGGCCCTCCTCACAGATCTCGAATGCTGGGCCCGTGACTCGGCCCGCGTCGCGGATCTCGAATGATGGGCAGCTCTCATTGGAACCCCTAACATTCCAGAGCGTTAGGAAGTGAGACTACGGCGGCGGGTGAGAAGAACAAGGCATTGACAGAGTAGTTACACATCCGTACATCGGGGCCCAAGGCCCTCGTCCATGCAAAAGCACGGATTCGAGATGGCAACCTCAGCCTCGAGAGGTCAGTCAGCAGGCAGTACATCCACCGACGAGCCCATGTGGCGGCGGTCGAAACCGGTCGGCAATGCCATGTTCCGCTAGAGAAAGTGTTGTTGTTTTTTGCTCCATTGCCGTACAATGTCGTGTGTGAAACAGACAATGATTGGTGATTGGTGTTGCCTGTGATTGCATGTGTGTGATCACATGTATGTGAGCATACGTGTCGGCCAGGAACATCTCTCAACTTAATCAACCTATACCCTAATCCTATCTAGCTGTGAGCTGAACCACGCCGCTGTAAGAAGTGCGGTGATGTGACATGTTCTCTCGATTGCAAAAGAGAGAGGGGAGAAGAAGCAAATTAATTTAACTAACTTCAAAATTCTACCTCAAGTTCCAAAAGCATGTCCAAATTGTGCAAACTTGAAATTTCAAGACCCTGGACGATCGCCAACAACCCTCCCCCCAAGAGAACCCCCACCCGCCACAAAAAAAAAAAAAACAAAAAAAGTAACGGAAAAATAAGGAGATTTTGTATGCAGAGGCACAACCAAGGTATTCTGCAAATTTTGGCCCCTTGAGAAAAAAACCCCAACAAAAAAAAAAAAAAAAAAAAAAAAAAAAGAATAAAATCATAATTCACCTCCCCCAGACCTCCCTCTCTCACTCCTCAAAATCGGATAAAACTTCATCAAAGTCACTCGTTGCCTTCTAGAGGGCAGGGAGGGAGATAGATGTTTCAAGTTTTCTGTTGAGGTAGAGAAGTAGTGGGAAAGGATAGAAAGTTTGGGAGGGGAGATCCCCGATTTGAGCGGAAATTGCACTCAACCTCTCTGCACTGGTTCACTATTTCAGGGCTTCCATGACTCTGGTTCCTCGAGCGACTCAAACTATAAGAGCCTACTTCATGCTAGAGCTCTCTATTTAGATGAATCTAGTCCGCAATTCGACCCAAATCCCTGACAGTGCCGGTGTGAAAACACCCTACTTCTTACACAGACATTCTCTAGTCAATGACATTCGCCTGGAAAACTCCGCTCACAGAAATCAGCACCCGCGACTTCGAAAACAAGATCCCCTAAGAGCATCCTCAAACTAGGACCTTTTCGACTCCGCTCTGGACATGATTGCGGCCAGATACGCCCATCACCGGACGTAATTGCAGTCCGATACATCCAGTCAAAAAGACCTACTCTGAATACGCTCTAAGAGACTCTTCCTGGAGGAAAAAAAACTCCTACCCCAATCCCAACATCCAAGAGCAACATCTGATTGAAAAAAAAAAAAAAAAAAAAAAGCACAAAATGAGACCTGCTCCCCTGCCTCCATGATGGACATTTGAACTTTGATTTGATCTGGCCTCCCCCACCTAACCCCCCCCCCCCCCCCCCCCCCCCCCCCCCCCCCCTCCTTTCTCAAACCCCCCTTCTTCAAAAAAAAAAAAAAACAGACACCTGCAATTTTAAACTCAAGGCTTGAGCACCAAGCACCAAGCACCAGCAGAGGAGACAACAGACACTCCTTGTCTACTGACTCCTCTTCAATCAAACTATGGCCGAAAAAAAACAAAAACAAAAACAAAAAGACAGCTCTCCTCTCCTCGAACGAATGAGCACGACCCTGCGCTCGAGCTGCCATCACAACTTGGCATGCACTTGTTCACATGGATAGACCAGGAACATGCAAGCAGGTGAGACCACACTGATTTCTGCACCCTTGTCACTCTACCATTGACAAAAAACAAGGGGGCGGGGTGGGAGGAGGGGGGGGTTGTTCTGGTGCTTGTTCCTGGGCTATGGAACTGGCGCTTGAATTGTTGAGCAATGCGCATGGAATATAGGAGGCTAGGCTAGGGTAGGCTAGGCTTGCGTGTTCCTGGTCTATCCATGTGCTAGAGCTGTCCAGACCATGGAACAACACCATAAGCTCTAGCATTTGGACCAAGAACAAGATAAGCTCAGACCAGGAACAAGACGATAATTCCTGGTCTGGACAGCTCTAGCATTTGGACCAGGAACAAGACGATAAGCTTTGGCTTTCAGACCAGGAATGGGACAATAAGCTCCAGGGCTACAGACCCATAACCTCTGGCACTCTTTCCTTTCCTTTCTGGTACAAGGACCACCAGAAAGGGGCCACGTAAGTGTACCATACAAGCGTAACTCACCAGCCTGCAGCAGCGGCTGCAGCAAAAGACAAACAAGACTCTCTCAGATCCAGGGTGCATTCCAGGGTCATCCCGAATACGGACCCGGTACCGGTGCTCATCACTGAACCGAGCGACCACAACCGTTCAAAGCGCCCACTTCGTATCCTGGCCTAGAAGAGGTGAGATCATCCACAATTCACTTCTCGACTAAGATCGGCAGTCTAGGTCCTCCTGCTTATCTACACTTGTAGGCTTGTACCACGGACAAAGAATCCGCGTTCCTGTCCGTGCATCACCTCTGCACCTCCGACAAGAGTCGTGGATCGTCTATTCAAGTTGCAGGTCAGTGTCCCAAAGGCATCGCTGCGTCTTCCCAATCCCTTTGTGGCCCTGCATCCTGATCCCACTTTCTGCTCCTGCATCATTCTGCTCCCACATTCTGGTCCCACATTCTGGTCCCACATTTTGGTGCCACGATCCGGTCCCACATCATTCTGGAGCCACATGGGTGCTCATGTGCCTTCCGGGTTCCACATTCTGGTCCCACGTGACTTTGTCTTCCCGCACGGGTGCTCCAACCTTCTGCAAGAAACTGAAATAAACTCTGACGTCGTTAAAAAAAAAAAAAAAAAAAAAAAAAACGAACAGGGAGCAACAACCTTTGGAAGCATCCAGAAGGGCGAGGCTGCTGCTTTCACATTCATTCTCTTGAACCGTGTACCCTGTTCTCGCCGTCTGGCACGCTGGACCTGCTGAACACAGTATTTGATCGCCGACAGCTCGTTGCCGATCTTTACCTGGCAGATCCTCTGCCGGATACTCGCATGGCCTCCTCGTCTTTTCTACTTGCGAGACTAGCAACGAAGATGCATGGTCAACGAGCAGCTGACGACTGCATGCGACCTCTGACGTCTGCAACGACTACGCCTGCAGCTGCTGACATGTCGACAGACACCAGTATTTCTACCAACTCGCAGCAAGAGAAAAATGAAGGTTGCTGACTGCTGCTCCTTCGACTGAAACCTGCATGCAGCATCCGACGTGTGTGTGTGCAGTGCCTGTCGTCTTCTCCAGCATGCAAGTGCCAGCATGCATTCGTGCGAGGATAGACCGACGACACCCTGTGACCCCTGGCAACACCTGGCATTAGCACGTATGCATGCAGCGGCTGAACCTGCGGCCAGTGACTGACGTCTGCGCGATGATTCAGCAGAGGGCATATGTGGTCGTCCTCATAGGGCATGGATTGTCAGATCAACAACAATTCACCTGGAACAGAAGAGTGTGCGGAAGTCAACGGGCGCTCCAAAGTCAACCGTCGGCCATCTTCTGCATGGACTCCACGTCGGCTTGCGACAAGAGCGTGCTGTTCTTTGAGCTGCTTTTGTCGAATGGTTGAGCCATTTTGCGCAGGAACTATGGAACACATAGACAGACCATCGGAGGGAAAAAGGGAAAAAAAAAAAGGTTAGAAAAATTGAATGATAAGAAGATCCACCTGCATGGGGGAGAGCGGCATTTCGCAACTTTTGTTATTTCTACATTCCAATATTTGAATTATAAATTTTATAATATTATTATATTCCTGACTAGTCTAGTAGAACTTGTAGAAGATTAGCAAGAATATATAAAGTAAAACGGATTACAATTGATAAACATAACGATAGGAAAACAAGTTAAAAAAACAACAACTAAATTAGTGTTGAGTCTGTTGACTATATGATATGCAGCAGTGGGTCTGCTGCAACCAAGACACAAATACAAATTAAAAAAAAAAAAAAAAAAAAAAAAAATATTAAAAAAAAAAAACCACAAAAAAAAAAAAAAAAAAAAAGACAGAACAGAGAGTCCTTCAGGACATCCTTTACACAGCGAAGGAGAAGTAACCTCGGATCGTTCTGCATTTCTCAGAACCCCGAGGAAGTAGACACTAAAGAGTTTAAAAATGAGTTAAAAGTTAAAAAGTAGTAAAAAAAAAAGTAAAACAATAGTAAAAAAATTAGGAAAAAAATAGTAAAAGTCTAAAAGAATAGNTAAAAAAAAAAAAAAAAAAAAAAGTAACAAAATAGTAAAAAATAGTAAAAATGCTATTAAGGCTATTATGCATTGCGGGTAGAAAGGATGAGATGAGAGGCTACCTCCTTGGCAATGTGCACAGCCATGTCAGTGCTGAGGTTGACATGTGCGTCTTTCAACTGAGAAAGAATCCATCCAGGAAGCTTGGACCGCTTGTCATGCCGAGTGTACCTGCAAAACACCACAGTGAGCTTCCATTCCACTTGCCATTTTTCCGTCTTCAGTTCCAGTTCCAGTTCCAGTTCCAGTTCCACTTCCACTTCCACTTCAGTTCCACTTCAGTTCCACTTCAGTTCCACTTCAGTTCCACTTCAGTTCCAGTTCCGGTTCTGGTTCCGGTTCCACTTCCAGTTCCAGTTGAGTTCAGTTCCAGATCCAGTTCCAGTTGAGTTCAGTTCCAGATCCAGTTCCAGATCCAGTTCCAGATCCAGTTCCAGTTCGAATTCTTCCTGGAGAAGACAAGTGTATGTGTTCAGTGCAGTTCCTGCTTCAGTTCCAGTTCCAGTTCCAGTCCCAGGTCTGGTCCCTGTTCCCTTCCAGTTCTAGTTCCAGTTCTAGTTCCAGTTCCAGTCCTAGGTCCCCTTCCAGTTCTAGATCCAGTTCCATTTTAGTTCTAGTTCTAGTTCTAGTTCCACTTCCACTTCCAGTTCCAGTTCCAGTTCCCTAAACCCTAAACCCTAAACCCTAAACCTAAACCCTTCCAGTTCTTGTTTCAGTTCTAGTTCCAGTCCAAGTTGCGATCCAGTTTCAATTCAGTGTGGTTATCCATTATATTATCTCAGTTTCCTTCAGAACAGAGCATGGACATTAGCAGGTTCAGTTCCTGAGTACAGATCCAGGTTCAATTCAAGCCCAGCTCCAGTTCCAGGTGCATTGATCTTGGACTGCTTTGTGTCCTCATGGCACGTGCAGCAGACCCAATGATGAGCATCGGCTCCAGGGAAGTCTGCGCTGCTTACCATGCTGCCAACTGTACCTGCAAGAGCCCAAGTGCCATGGAACTGTACCTGGGAAACATTGCACCTGGTCCAGGTCCAGTTCCTATAATACTCACTCCAGGTCACAGGAAGCACGCTGGGATGCATTGCATCTGATCTGCTCCGTTTTCAGGACTCCTACAGTCGCAGGGCCCCCCTAGAAAAGCACACACATGAATAGCTCCGCGCTTTCAAAGACTGGCGGGCATGGCATATACTCATGTGAGGACCTTCTGGACTGAATTTGACCTCCACTATGACTAGATACAGTCAGAAAAGAAGTCCTTCTGTGAGTGAGCACTGAGAGTTTACGATGCCAAAACCCTGGCTGAAAGATTCTCCAGAGGGGTTTTCCATGTGTGTGTACTTCCCGACTCTCTCTGACATTTTCTGACTATTTCTGACAGTTTTTGACACTTTCTGACATTTTCTGACTCTCTCTGACATTTTCTGACTCTTTCTGACAGTTTTTGACACGTTCTGACATTATCTGACTCTTTCTGACAGTTTTTTGACACTTCCTGACATTTTCTGACTCTTTCTGACAGTTTACAGAGCTATGCCATGGGAGTTAGGATTTTTTAACTGTCATGGCATAGCTCTGTACAGGTATGTACAGATTCGTCCGCATGAGCAAGCGGTGGGAGCAAGGTGGAAAAGCGAAATGGAGAAATACAAATGGGAGCCACAAACAGAACAAACGGAGATGGAAAAAAAATGGAAATGGGTATGTACAGGAACAGAAAAGTCTGAAAAGATAATCGGCACGGGGAAATGAAGACGAGGAACAGGACAAGAGGGTGCGAGACGAGCGGGAACGACAAACTGGACAAACGAGGAACGGATACGCAAAAGAGAAAGCGGAATGGACAAGCGGGAAATGGAAGACAACATGATCCCCGCACAGCTTCGTCCGCATGAGTAAGCGGTGGGAGCAGAGGTGTAATCGGAGATGGTGTAAGTTGGACAGAGTCATTTGGAACCAGAATGAATATATGGCAACAGAAAAGGAGGAATTGGCAGTGCACCTAGGTTTGCTGGACGGGCCTTCGCCACGAATCGCCCGTGCAGCTTGGTCGACCTTGTGTGAATTTGGACATGTGAGCGCCTTTTCGTTTTTTCCTTTTCCTTTTTCTTTTTCTTTTTTTTTAAAGGCATGTTATGATGTTAGGCATTGTTAGTGCCTTTCTGTTTTTTTTTTTTTCTTTCGCAACAAAGCTCTGTTATGGAATCATTGGGATTACAAAAGCATCTCTCTGCGTGCGCATGTGTTTGTATCATACTTGCAAGCAGACAGAACGGACGAGCGTCCGGTCCGGTCCGCTTTGCCGCGTGCGGCACCCTCCCCCCGGACCGGACGGGGGCGGTTTTTTTTTTTTTTTTTTGGGGGGGGGGGGGGGGGCGTAACTGGTCGCCGGGCGCACATTTGTGCGCCGCACGGGTCCGGTCCGGCGGTCTGCCGCACGGGTCCGGTCCGGCGGTCTGCCGCACGTGCGGAACCGCCCGGACAGCGTCCGCTTGCAAGTATGGTTCGTATGTTACGACGGTGCTTTTTGAGTCTTTTTCTCTTCTAGGTTTATGAGTTAGAAAACAAGAGACGCACTGCTACGTATTGCCTGTGAGATCTACTCATTTTACTCTCGACTCTTGTGGTTGGGCTGGTGGATTACTTGTTGTGGCATGCGACACAGAGGGAGAACAAACGATCAAAAACAGAAAACAGGCCGGGAATTCGAAAGAGGCAAGCAGGATTGCGCACATCATTTTTTTTTTTGTAAATAAAAGGGAGATGGAAAAGTGTAAACGGCTATGGCGGTGAAAGCCGCGAAACAGAAAAATCAATCTGGAGAAGGGGAACGAAGCATAGAAACAGAAGAAAAAGAAAAAGGACGAGCGGAAACAAAGAACTGGAGAAGCAAAAAGGAGAGCGCAAAACAGAAACCAGAAAAGGGAAATGGAGCAAAGGCAATGAAAAAATAAAAAATGGAGACAGTAAACAAGACATACGGAAACGGGAAAGGAACAGGAAGTAGTGAAACAGGATCCAGCAAAGAGTTGGAGCCCCTCTTCACCAGATAGACGGAAGTGGGTGGGAGTGAGTGGGAGTGGGAGGGAGTGGGTGGGGGAAAATAATTCACACACCTTTTGTCAGCGAAGATCATCATACCGTAGTCTGACTTGGAACGAATAACACGCCCCACACACTGCGCTGCTTGCCTCTGTCAATTGATGACATCAGAATCAGAATCAGACCAAATGCCTCATCCCCCAAACGTTCACGGTTCACACAGAAAACAGAAGCAGCAACAGCAGCAGCAGCAGCAGCAGCAGCAGCAGAAGAAGAAGAAGAAGAAGAAGAAGAAGAAGAAGAAGAAGAAGAAGAAGAAGAAGAAGAAGAAGAAGACCGACAACGGAGGAGGAGGAGGAGGAAGAAGAAGAAGAAGAAGAAGAAGAAGAAGAAGAAGAAGAAGAAGAAGAAGAAGAAGAAGAAGAAGAAGAAGAAGAAGATATGGTTTCACACTGATTGCAGCCTTGGAGTTCTGGACAAATTTGCATATACCTTCACAAGTCTTTCCAGGACCTTGTTCTTGTTTACTTTCACTTTTTTTTTTCATTTTGTAAATCAGTCCCAGCACTTACCACTGCATCGAATGTCAAAAACTCATTTTCCTTGATTTGAAAGCAGTCCCTGAGGTACTCCAATCGCGCCCGCAATATTCTGCACCATCCAGGAACCACAGAAAGTTTTCTGAGATCAGGACAAAAAAGAAGTAAAAGGAAGAAGAAGAAGAAGAAGAAGAAGAAGAAGAAGAAGAAGAAGAAGAAGAAGAAAGAAGAAGAAGAAAGAAGGAAAAAAAGAAGGAAAGAAACCCCCTGCATTCAGCCTTCGTTGCCGGATAACCCCTGGGTGCCCGATACCCCCCCGGTGCCGGATAACCCCCCGGGAGGGGATGTTGCGTGTCAGTTTAAGTGCTCTCAGCTGCACGACCCTTTCCTCCCCCACTTCCCCCCGCCCTTCCCCCCACTCCTTCCCCAAATCCCCCTCGATGATACATTCTAGCTTGGGAGTGCCGACTGCCCACGCAAGTTGACCAGCACAGCACAGCCGACCACTGCTTACTGTCTGGTAAACTTGTGCCCGCCGGCAAAGCCAAAGCTACCGTCTTCCCCCAAACACAACGCACCCTCATTTTGGCTGTATCTGGCCAGAAGTATAACTCGAATACATTCATTTTTAGGGTGCGTTATGTTCGGGGGAAGATGGTAGAACGGCAAAAACAGACCACCATAGTCATAGGTCAACTTGATTGACCAGCAGAGTTGACTTGACCACAGTTTTCTGTGTGGTCAATCAAGAGGTCAACTTGAGTTGACCAGCACACTTGACCACGGTTTTCTGTGTGGTCAATCAGAGGTCAACTTGAGTTGACCAGCACACTTAACCGCTGTTTTCTATGTGGTCAACATGTGCCAGCCAGCCCATGTGCGCTAGAACGGCACACGTTGAACACTGGAACTTGTGCTGGCTGGGTCGCTTCACTGCTGCTTGGTGGAGAAGTTCTTCCACCACAGCAATGAATGCTGCTGCTTGGAGAGAGAGAGAGAGAGAATGCCGCTGCTTGGAGAGACAGAGAATGCTGCTCCTTGCAGAGAAAAAGAATACTGG